TAATTTAACACGTGGTAGTGATCTTATTCAAACCTTTTTTATACTTAGGTTTTCCATTGAATTTTCATGAATACCATTAAAAATAAATCTTATTACCTCTAGTATATATTATTAAAATTTCTTTAAAATCACAGTTTTTTAAAAAAATTTATAATAGAAGTTTTTAAATTCATATATATTTTATTTCATTTATTAATTTGAAGGTTTTTTTTAATATTTTGTTTGGTTCAACTAGATTAATATCAGGTTATATTCCACATAGACAAAATTGGTTAAATGAAAGTTGAGAATTTTCACGGTCAAACACAACAATAAATTCATTATCTTCTCAGCTTTGCATTAAAGCTAAAATTTAATTTACTTTTATGAACAATATAGTTTTATTACAGATGATATAAGTGGTTCAAAAGCTTAGGCAAAGAATCTACATAATTACAATATAATAATCATAAGAATAATTTTTATTATATATCATAGAAACCCACTTTTTTTTTAAATTTTTTGCTATCGATCATTAAGTTAACAATTAAGTAACTTGAAATACTGAAANATTATTTAATGGACAAATTAAATTAAAAGATTCACCAAAACAAAATTCATTTTATAATTTCTAAGTGCCATTTAGTTTTAAAGAAAAATATTCTAAGTCCAAATTAATTAAGAAAACGACTAAGTCCCAGAGATTGAAATCTTCAGTAGTGTGTCGTAGATTTTGTGTATTTTAAAATCACCAAAAACGATACAAAATGTGATTATATACTTCAATGTTTATTTTACTTGTAATTTACATCAATTAGACATAAATAAATATCATATGATACATAAAACCTAACGCAATGAGGTCACCGCATAGTTTGGACAAGTATAAATAATATCTATGAGTGATTATTATTACTATCATGATGCGAATCTGTTAAAATTCACAATCATTTGTATATTTAATAATTTCACAATTTCTAAGTTTTAAATTTAACTTAAATATTATATGCATTTGAATTATTTGCTTAGTTGGATATAAAGATGTTTATTGTTTTTTTTTACATCGATGGCTGACTTGTCATAGTAGAACAAATGTTTGAATGTATTTTTTTAATATTGTTTTACACTTCAATAGCTTTAATTTGATAAAGGTTAAAAGTTGTCAGATGTTATAGAACATTTTAAAAAATTTAATTTAACACGTGGTAGTGATCTTATTCAAACCTTTTTTATACTTAGGTTTTCCATTGAATTTTCATGAATACCATTAAAAATAAATCTTATTACCTCTAGTATATATTATTAAAATTTCTTTAAAATCACAGTTTTTTAAAAAAATTTATAATAGAAGTTTTTAAATTCATATATATTTTATTTCATTTATTAATTTGAAGGTTTTTTTTAATATTTTGTTTGGTTCAACTAGATTAATATCAGGTTATATTCCACATAGACAAAATTGGTTAAATGAAAGTTGAGAATTTTCACGGTCAAACACAACAATAAATTCATTATCTTCTCAGCTTTGCATTAAAGCTAAAATTTAATTTACTTTTATGAACAATATAGTTTTATTACAGATGATATAAGTGGTTCAAAAGCTTAGGCAAAGAATCTACATAATTACAATATAATAATCATAAGAATAATTTTTATTATATATCATAGAAACCCACTTTTTTTTTAAATTTTTTGCTATCGATCATTAAGTTAACAATTAAGTAACTTGAAATACTGAAAAGAAGTTTTTGATTGTTAATTTTTTTATTTATTAATTATTTACTTTATATGCCTATTGATAGAATTTCTGAAACTTCCTATAATAATGTCCCTAAAAGTAATAGAAAAATAAAATATAAAAATTTAAATAAAAATATATTTTATATTAATTTTTGAAAATAACATTATTAATAACAATATTTACAAAAACAAAAACATATAAAAACTCTTAACGTTTTATATCCCTAAAATAATGATTACTCTAATATTTTTTAATATTTTTCATGAGGCGTAGTTAAAGAATCACTTATTATTATTGTATAAACTAAAAATTTAATTTAATTTTAACTATGTCTAGTTCACGAATAAGGCCATGGAAATATGTCTTAATTTTAACTAAGCCAAAAACAAGTATATGCTCAGAAAAAAATTATAATTTCTTAAAGCTTTATTCAATTTTCTGTTTTTCCAGTGTTTCAATTTCATATTTTCCGTTATGCAAAACTTTATAGTATAATTACTTCTATAGTATAAGATGGCAGTTCTGTGTTCCAGTCAACCTTTCAAATATATAATATCTGGAAATAATTATAATCTAACAATTACTTTACATCAAGTTATTGTATGTCATAAATAAATAGAAAATATTTATCACTAATTGATGCTGTTTAAATTTTGACTCAAATAAATGACACACAACACTTAACGTTGTAATAATTATATTTACTACAGCAATATTTTTAATTACACAATAAAAACCTAGTACAGCCTGGTCTCAGCATAGTGGGGATCCGACATAATAGGCGACATTTAGATTGACAATGATAAACAAAACTAACATAAAGCGTTTCGATGTTCATAAAGAAAAGCTAGAAAAAAAATAGAAAAATTTTAACAGAAATTTACAAATTTAAACTTTAGCCATCAATTATTTAAAGAAAAAGATTTGTCAGAAAGTTTTTTTGTTTTTTGATATCAAGTACATCTCAAAAGCCTGTAGGAATGTAAATTTAGGGGATTACTAGATTGTTAAATCTTATTGCGACGAGGTGGGGTGTGGTGCAATGGATAGTTCAATTACTGCCTTAACGCTGATGTTCAGCTGTTATGTTTGCTTTTGGTTCCCGGATGGGTGACCCATACGGGAACTTTAACATTGAAACACATCTGGCCTCTGTAATAGCCCCTCAGTAATAATAAGATTGCGTCAGGTTTAAATTTCATCAAATCGTTAAACTGGGATAGAGACTCATGTGACAATAATGATAACATTAAATTTGATATATTATTTGCTTTGAAGGAAGTAATGAATTTCATCGTTAATTTTTTGTAAAAAAGAATGCGCACTCGAGAGAACACAAAATATTATGAAAATTATAATAATAAATCTTATAGTGGTGATAGATCAATTTATTAATGAAAAAGCTTTATGCTTTATTTTTTCTGGTTTTCTAACAATACTACGGTTATTAACAGTCAAATATCTTAATTACAAAAATTTTATCTCTATATCCGTTTTTATCTATCAATTGACAATTACCTATAAATGTACAATATAAATCTTTGCTCTCAATAAACTTGAAAAATAATAAACTTAATTAAGTCAATTTAATAATTATTTAACAGAGAATATTTAAATAAAATGTATAATAACAAAACATTTTTCAATTATTTTAATATTTGAATGGAACCTAATTTAAAACACCCAGACACACAATATTTTAATTTAACGGGTTTACGTAGTGTTTTTTAAAATGTTAAGTTCTCACAACATTTTCCTATTCTCGAAATTTTGTTATATGATACCATTTTAAATAGGTAACCAATCTAAAAATTTAATTTTCTTAAAAATATAAACCAAAAATTATTAGCTTTATTATATATATTTAATTATTATATTTATTATATTTTTTTGAAAATTATTTATTTCGTACCTACATAATGAGGTACACAAAAAATTATATGAATTTTTCTTCTTAATTTTTAACATGTGAAATTATTTGCACGAATATCGGTTATTCATACTATTTTTTATAAAAATACCATTTTTGAAGTATTTTGCATAACAATGAAACATCTAAATAGTTCAAAACTAAATCAAATTTTAAATCAAACGACTTATCATTTTAAAAAATTCTAAAAACAAAAATCGTGTAATTTTTGTCAGCTACGTTGAATTTTTTCCAATAACGAATTAAAGTGTTTTACGACTGTGTTTTAATCTCTGTCAGAATAAATCAATATTAATCTAAAAAATGTTTCCGAGTCACTTTACTGAATTCCTATTGTACTTTACTTTTTATTATTTTTAACTGTCTATTTCAATGTTCATGTAATAGTAATAAACAATAATGTTCAGTTATCGTCTATAATTAAATTTCTTTTTTTATGACAATTTCTTCTCAAAAGAATCTGACTTATAACATTGTGAAAAGTTTTCTCAAAAATGAATAGTTTTTAATTTTATAACATTTTTAGATAGCACAACTCATATAAATCATCTATAATTGATGAATTATGAATTATTCTATTAACACATATTGAAATATTACCGATAAATCCCAATTTAAATTATCTCAATCACCGCCATAAATATAAAAACTAAACCAGATTAATGTATGACATAAATAGCTTTAATTAATAAATATTGCAATGTGTAATATGACATTATACATTAAGTTAGGTTATTTATGTGGAGTTAGCCCTTTATTATTTAACAACACGTAGCTATTTTACATTAAAAAAGTTATTTAAGTTTCATAAAATTATATAAAATTCCGTCAAGGGTCAAAATATTGTGTTACGATTACAAAACTATGAAAACTGTGTTTTTCTTTAAATAATTTTTAGTCTAAATCTCGTCTAAGAATATTATACTGTTTTCACAAAATAATCATGAACCTAACCTTAACACAAATATAATATTTATTCTATGATGTTCTTAATTAGATACCGGAGAAAAAGAGACGTATAACACTTGAAAACTTATGGTAAAATCCATGACGCATTAATGTGATAATTGGAAATAATATTAATGAAACATCTACTTAAGTAGTTTTTACAATAAAAAATTAATATATGTCACGCTTTATATAACAATACAGTTATATTTTAAAACTGCTAAATCATAAGTGTTTTTCATTACACCTTAATATTTGCTATAATTAATAATGATACTTCATAACAATGTAAATAACATTGATTAAAATTACTCGTTTGGGTACTTGAAGTTTTTAATTGAAAGCAATTTTCGAAGCCAATCAATTTCTTAATATATGTCTACATTTACCTATAAATATGACATTTTAAGTTCCACTACTCACTCACTAATTAGCAACAATATACGCAGACATTGTCATTTTTATGAAATAAAAATGGCTAGAGTATTACTTTTGTTTTGTGTAGTGTTTGTTACGATATATCAATCTGAACAAGCTCATTTTCTGAGTAGAGAATACATCAATAAAATTAACAGTGTAGCAAAAACATGGACGGTAATTATGATTTATTATTTATTTTTATTTTTTATTCATTTATTTCAAATAATAATATTTATTTTCACTTAACTCAGATAATTTCTTAATGTTCTTTTTTTTTGTTCATTAGCGTTTTTAATTTTTTTAAATAAATAAATTTGTTTAACCACCTAAAACTTAAACTAACATTTTAGAAAAAAAAAAAAAAATTCTAACGGTATAATATTTATAATTTACTTGTAATAAAAAAAGTAGAACTAGATTTTAACAAATAATACAATTATTCAAAAATCACAATATAAATTATTTTTAAAAGATATAAAAGAGTTTGTAACAAAACACATGTAAATAAACAATTATTTAATGTACATTTTTTTATTTTAGGTCTTTTATTCGAAATTTATGATAATAAAATAAAAATTGTCTTATTTTTTTTATTGAGCCGTTTATAGCATTTTTTAACGAACATTTTTTTTATAAATATAAGTATATTATTCTGTTAAGTGATTAATATTTTATTTGCATTATTTATTTTTATGTTTATACATTTAAGGCTGGAATAAACTTCCACCCAAATACACACATTGATGAAATAAAAGGTCTGCTGGGATCATACTCCATTGGATCAAAAAAAATAGAACTAGTCAAATCAAATGATCCAGTATATTCATATACCAATGAAATTCCCGCAGAATTTGATGCTAGAGAAAGATGGCAAGAATGTAAATCAATCGGAACGGTCCGTGATCAAGGAAAATGTGGTTCTTGTTGGGTATTTAAAATTAAAAAAAAAATACTTTATTCGTATTTATAAAGTATAATTTATAAATCATTGTTAAATTTCAGGCTTTAAGTACCACCAGTGCTTTTTCTGATCGTCTATGCATTGCTACCGATGGCGAATTCAATGAAATTTTATCGGCAGAAAATTTAGCATTTTGTTGCTGGACTTGTGGTTTTGGTTGCAATGGAGGCTTTCCCTTACAGGCTTGGAGATACTTCAAATGGCGTGGAGTAGTCACCGGAGGAAGCTACAACACAACAGAGGTTAATAGACAGCCAAAAAATGTTGGGTTTTAATAAAGGGTGTACCATAATTAAAACTCCCCACAACTTATTTTTTAAATTATTGACTGAAAAATATGAATTATTATTTAATGAATTCATCTATCACCTACGCATTAATTCCTATGAATTTGATCAACTATATTCAACTGATAAATAATTTTGTACTCTAGGGATGTCAACCATACAGAGTCGCTCCTTGTATCACAGATGAAAGAGGTCAAAACACTTGTGACGGAGAAGAAATTGAAAAAAATCATAAATGCGAGAAGAAATGTTATGGTAACACAGAAATTGATATCAAAAAGGATCGTAGATACAGTAATGTTTTTTATCTTTTATAATATTATGCATAAAAAAAAAAAACATTCTTATATTTAAAGACTACATCTTTATTGGATTGTAAATTGATAAGTGCTACAGGCTTACAAAATGATTGGATGTACACTTTATCGTATTTTTATGAATCGGTAGAGTTTATTCTAATATCTTATGATATTATTGCCATCTTTTAAAAATAAGTACGCTTACTATTTTGATCGCCCCTAAACTCTAAACAGCTGTGAATTAAGGAAATACTCCGACTAAAATATAGAATTCATTAGTTCATTAGCCGTTATATGATATCTTACAGAATATATTTTATGTTAATAGCAAGAGACGCATACTATCTAACTCCCAGAGCAATCCAACATGATTTGATGGCTTATGGTCCAATTGAAGCATCATTCGACGTGTACAGTGATTTCATCAGCTACAAATATGGTAATTTATCATATTTCGACATTTAAATATACAGGAGATCCATTTGTTGTAACTCACTGAGTTACTTACAAAATAAAAATAATTTTGGATATATATTTTACACCATTTTTACGTGCGTAAATTTCTCAACTTATCAATGAAGTATTTTTTGTTTGATCCCTTATAAGTAAAATTAAAACTATATTAAAAATATTATTAATTTAAAAAACTAAAAAATATTAAACTCAAAGCCACAAAAAAATTAATGAAAAGTCGCGGATACGTATTTCGGAAACAATGTTACCATTATCAACGCTAAACACATACTATTATGTGTAATATTGTTTCCGAAATACGTATCCGCGACTTTTCATTAATTTTTTTGTGGCTTTGAGTTTAATATTTTTTAGTTTTTTAAATTAATAATATTTTTAATATAGTTTTAATTTTACTTAATTAATTAGCCACAAGTGATCAATTTTTATTATATGATCCCTTATAACTTATTAATGAGTCAAATTTATTTTTAAGTAGAAACGTACATAATTAACTAGCTCATTTATTAAATAATGATTTAACTAAGAAAATAAGTGATCGACAACAAATTTTGGACTAGTACTTAGATGATATTCAGTCTACTATAACGATTATAAAACGTATACTGAAAGAAAGGCGAAGATATAACTATTTTTATCATTAAGCATTTCGCGACTGCATTCTTCCTCCCACCAAGGCATATAAATGTGAATAACTTCTAATGGAGTAATGTCTAGTAATAAAATGACAATTCCAGCGCCTCATCTCCAGCTATTAATTTTTATATCGTTAAAAACTTCCACATTGTGCTTCAAAAGTTGTTATCTATTGACCAGTTATTTTTATAATTAGATCATTATTTAATAAATACGCTAGTAAATTATATATGTGTTCCTATTAAAAAAAATTAAACTGTAAACTATATAAGACATACGGAATAAACATAAAAAATATTTTATCATTGATAAATTAAAAAAAAACATAAAAAATTCTTAATGTAATTCAATTTAAATCAATTAAGTAGTTTACAATGAAATAATAATTTAAAAAAATCGGAAAAAATATCCAAAATAAGTACTGTTTTATGAATTTGTTTATTATCATCAGGTGTTTACCATAAGACTGAAAACGCTACTTTGTTGGGAGGGCACTCAGTTAAATTGATAGGATGGGGTGAAGAAGAAGGAACACCATATTGGTTATTAATGAACTCGTGGAATGAACAATGGGGTGATAATGGATTATTCAAAATTTTGAGAGGCAACAACGAATGTAAAATTGAAGAACACGCCACAGCAGGTGTACCATATTTGAACTAGATGGTCCAATTTCAATCAGTTTTATTCTTTCAATAATTGTTAAATTTTAATTGTTTAAAAATGCTCAATTTTTGTTGCAAATAAATTTAAAATTGATTGAATTTATCTTTGTTATTAATACAAATTTATAAATACTATGGTGACTCTAATTGATAAACTGGTGGTTTTTTTAACTCTTTGCAAAAAAATGACGCTCATCAAGCTTAATTAAAATCACTTAATTTTAATAAATTAAGTTAAATTAATAAAATTAATTTTTAGATCCATTATTGAATATTTTTAAAATTAAAATAAACAATTGTTTAAGGACACAGTTCCACCTTAAAAAAATTGAATAATTACAAACTTTTTGCACAATGAATACAAATTTTTCTGATAATTTTTAATTTTACCTTATCATAACAATTTGATAGTATTAAATTTTATTAAAAACTAAGCGTATAATTTTCAACAATCAAATTGTAATAATAACTGGAATTAAAAAATTATAATCGTATGCAAAAATCAAAAAGTGACTCCATATAATGACTTTAAAAATTTTTCTAAAAATGTTTGTAGATAACAAAAATACTACTTAAATTACCTCCAAAAGAAAATTTTACTTAATAGTCCTTATAAATGTGCTACAATTTTAGAAAAACACATTGATCCAAACAATAAATCTGCTTTAGTGTTCTTTGAAGCTTTTAAAGGGATTTAAAACAGTTAGAAACAATTTACGCAACTTATCAAAAATATTTTTTTATTTATTCTGGCTATAAATAATTTTAATAACATCACTAGTAAAACGTTTTTCAAAAATTAAAATTATCATTAAAATTAAAAACAATTTAAGAAAATTAAAAATCCAAAATGTCAATTATAGGAGACTCTATGTTTTTATTGGAAGTGATTATTAATAAAGTCTTATTTACGGATTTAAATGAAGAAACTAATACATGTCCTTTATGTGTCTGCTTCAAATTTCCATTGTTAACCGATATCAATTTGTGTGAAGGAGACTTTTGCGGCGGTTCTTACAAAAAATTTAGCAAAGGCGTTATGAGTATTTTTAGCATTACAGCGCAAGATCTGTGTAGTGTCGCACGTCAATTTGGTGCATCTATTACTGTTTATAGATCAGTTACTGCTGATAACACAGTACGATTGGTAGCGTTAACCAAAGCAGACTTTGATGAATCATTTAGTCATCTTATACAAAATCCTAATGACGCCAAAAAATTTCGGGAGTCCAAACAGGTTTGTTAAATATTCATTTATTAATTTTTCTGAAATCATTTATTTTTGATAGTAAAATACATTTTTTTCGATTTATTCAAAATCAATAAAAATCAGATAATTTCAAAAATGGGAGGGGAATATATAAATTATGTATATTAAATAACCTCATAGAAGATTTTCCAAATTCCAAAATATTTAAAAAAAAAAACGAATGTTAAGTCATTCCAGTTCAATTGGGTTGGGTTTAGCATTGTTTCTCTCTCGGTTTTGTACATATTAAAAAATTCGTATCATATATCTATTATATTTTCAATTATCATCACTACAATCACTCGAAAATTCATTAACTGACCTATTAATTTTTCTACTGTAACTTTGTTACCTATTAGAGTATTAATATTTTATTTTTATTATAATACTATTAATAGAGTTGAAATTCTAATTAATTCTACTTTATATTATTAAAATAGTAGAATATTAATTTTTTAGGAACTACCTTTATTCGAAAATGAAAGAAATAATAAAATTGGGACTATAGATGTTATTTTTCGATTAACGTCATTGGGATCACTTTTAGTCACAGAGTACTATAAAAAATCAGTCGATGAAAATTACTTGTATAAAGCAGGCGATGAATGCGTACCAGCTATTCTACCTCCTATAAATGCGTGTCCCGTTAAAAAAAAACATTGTCGACATTGTAAAAGTAAAAAAACAAGCTCAAAAAATCTCAAGTGTAGTGGAGGTAAATTATTTACTGTAGATTATTCTTTATCAATCAACAATATAGAAATAAATCCAGTGGCGGCGTTTTGATATGTTGTATAGAATTAAGTAAATCCAACAAGAATCAAGTTGAGCAATGGTAAAACATTGAAATATAAAACGTTGTCTTCATTTCTATAAGTAAGTAATGTGAATAGTAATACATATTAGTAATACGCCTTATTCATAATATGTATTTTGTACTAAAAGTGGCCACGTGTACAAACGAATGTATTACATGAATTCACATATTATATTATATGTACATGTTTATTACTAATGAATATGTATGTAGTATATAATGAATCATTAATATTGTAAATAATATTTGTATTGATTGTTAGAGAGGCCTGAACGATTTCAAAGTGGTCCCTTCCAGCATAGGCCAGTTTTTGACGCCGCCACTGAATAGTTCCAGTTTACTACTAGTATTCTAATATATCAGTATGGCATAAGAATCGCAATAGGTATTTTTTACACTTGACCCATATTAAAATTAAGAAATAAATATTTCTGTGGTTAAATCATACTATGATGAAACTTTTTTAGGTTGTGATAGAACTATGAACAAAATAATGTGTGCTATAACAACAATGGAAATGATAATGAAAATGTTCAAGGCGGCAAAAGCGACACCGAAAATTTTAGCGACAAATAGTAATAAGTTAGGAAAAATTCCTCAAAAAAGTCCTATAAATACGGGACGGTGTTTATTTGATCCAGAATGTATTATTTTTGACTGTCCGTTTAAAACTAATGAACCAGAAGAAGCCATGATAAATCGAATAATAACTAATTGCAATGACCAGCAAGTAAATAACAAACATGGTGGTAACCATACAGTACGACATTCAGAATCAAACGCACACGCGCAACATCCGAAAGTTTCAGAAAAAACTTCTGAAGTTATAGAACCTGTGGTTGACGACGAGGATTTATTTGTAGTGTCTGTGGGGCGTGTAGATCATTGTCGTCTTAAAGTAACAAAGGATGATACTACACAATACCAAGAAGGCGATGTACCACTTGAATGGCTTCAGGAAATTACTAATCAGGAAACCCCCAAAGAAATTTCAAAGTCCAATAAATCCAAGGCAAATAAAAAGACAAAAAAAAAGAAAAAAAAGTAGAAATTCTTAATATCCAAACGATAAATTATGTTCAAAATCAAAGTGATAAATTATTTTCTCAAAATAAACTATTAACTTTAAATATATTTTTTTTTAATTTATAAAAAATAAAAATAAATGATATAAAATGATTATTTTAGCTTCGATGCGAAACTGAGAAGGTATTGGTTTTACTAATATGTGTATTTTTTTTTGTGTCTATAACCACTGTTTCTCAGCTCTCACCGAACCGATTTTTTTCAATGATACGTCAAAAGATCACAAATCGTATCTAGTCGAAGACATTACCCCCAAAAATTGAAAAAAATTCTCTCGTTCCTTCCCGTAAATGAGGGAAATTTCCAAAAAAATTACAAATTTAAAAATCGCTAATTTTCGAAAATTTCGAAATCTTATTACTTAAAACTGCCATAACTAATTCAAAGACGACCAAATCAATATAATTTTTTTATATAGATGCATGATATTATTACCTTTCATTTGGTATATTTTTTTTTTTATAGTGACCCTTTACTTGCCCACAGGGGGGGATTTAAAATGACAACTTTTTCACAAAAAATTAACTTTTTCTACTTAACTTTTGAAAGTGTTCCGGAAGGTCTGACACATTTATATATATCTTAAATTAAAGCTAATGTAATGTATTTTATTATGGAAAAAAAAAATTTCGGACTTTATTTTGTCTTTACGGTGAAAATGGCTACCGAATGCTATTCTCGATATTATATTTTATACTTTACATTTTTAACTTTATATTTCTATATCTTTTCAAAAAATGTATGGATCATTACAATTATTTTATGAGAAATAATATTTAAATCCCTTTTTCATTCGACATACTTTATCTTAATCAGGATATAAAAAAGGAAATAGCAAATCATGAAGCTTTTGGAATAATCCACCAATTTTTTAAAATTAAACACTATCTAAAGATTTGCATCGAAGCGTTTTTTATGATAGTGATTTTAATCACTGTCAGATATCATTATACTTGATCCAACTATGCCACGTCACCACTGTGCCGCGACCCCCCTGTGCTGGGTTTTTTACATTTACTCTTATTCCATTTTTAATATTTTTTTTATGTGGACTCTTTGAAGTAAATCTTAACACATTAAACAGGATCTATGAAATAGGTCACAAAATCCCAAATTTGCCGACTTTATTAAGTATGCCGCATTTAGTAAAAAAAATCAAAAAGTTTAGCGTCCATAAAATAAATAACAAAAAGTATTCAAATTTATATAATATAATAATTTAAAAAAGATTTTATTTTATTTTATTTGTAAATTTCCCTTATTCATTTCAAAATATTTTTAATTTTTCTGATTCATTTAAAAATGTTTCAAGTTTAACGAATTTTTTTATAACATTCTATATTCTGAATCTTTGGATAAAATATATACAATAAAATAGTACCTATATGAAAATACAGTTATTTTATTAATGTATAATAGTGAAATTTTTGTCTTTCTATAAAATATTATAATTTATTAGTTTTAGAAATAGAATTTCTGATTTATTTAATTTCATTAAATTCTTACACAAATAATGTTTTTAAGAGTATACTATTTATACAATGATTAGTATGTTTAAATACCAGAATTTACTTTTAAAAATATTCAATTTTTATAATAAATTATTTTGAAATTTAATATATCACTTAACAAAAATTCAAAATATTAAAACTGTTTAAACCAAACAACACATTCAATAATGAAAACTAATATTAAAATAATTACGGTAAATATTATCTTTCTTTATTAAACATACTTTGAATTCATATCACATTTTAGCTTCGATGCGAAGCTGAGAGGGTATTAGTTTTACTGTTGTTTAAGTGTTCCATTAACTAAAATTTAAAAAGAGAACACTACTTGCGTGTCGTGAGTAGATGTATATAAGAAAAGGAATGTTGAAAGATGTTTAGAGTTATTATTTCTAAGTAAAACATCTTATATAAAACATAAAATAATCTTAAATTAATGTCAGTAGAAATTAACTAAAGCTATATATATATATATATATACAGATGTACTTATTTGTGTATATTCATACACAAATTATACAATAAATAAATATAATGTAATAAAATATACAATAAATGTGACCTGCGTGTCCACGAATGACAGCAACCTTGATTGGGGCTGTATTGCGAATTACAGGGGACGTGGTACAAAATACGTTCCACAGCGTCCCGACGGTGGCGAATTTTGGCGTATGCGAAACTATGAGCGTATACACATTTGCGATGCTTCAAAAGAGCATAAAAGAAAAAAAAATGAGAAACAATAATATATTGTTCAGTATCGACTATACCCAAGCGAGCGTTTGATTGCTAATGAATAATGACTCGTTTTGTCGAGTCGCGTGGAACTCGTCCAGTCATTTTTACCAGTCCAGTCGTTATTAGTCACATATTGATGGGACGGTCACAACTAAGACACCATATGACTGTGTACGCAACAACTATGATGTGCTTTTTTGTGTCTGCTACAGCTTTTTCTCAGCTCTCACCGATTCGATTTTTTTCAACGATACGTCAAAAGATTACAAATCGTATCTAGTCGAAGCCATTACGCTTAAAAATTGAAAACATTTCTCTCGTTCCCCGTAAATGGGGAAAATCTCCAAAAAAATTACAAATTTTAAAATGGCTAATTTTCGACATTTTTTCCATTTTTTTTACCTAAAACTGCTATAACTTTTTCAAAAATGAACAAAACAATATAATTTCTTTTTTTATAGATGCTTGATGTCTTTATCTATCATTTGATATATTTTTTTTTATAAATTTAACCCTTAACCTACCCACAGGGGGGATTCAAATGACAACTTATTTACAAAAAATTAACTTTTAATGTAAAAAGAACTATAAAGTGATAAGTTAATTGAAATTTAAAACATTAAATATCAAAAGTACTTGTCTAAACATAAGGACCATTTTGTATTTATAAGAAATAATTATAATTACAATTTAAAGATTAATAATTGTTAATTTATACAGGTATTTTTAAGTTTTATCAATTTCGTTATAACGGATGATGTATTAGAAGTGTTATCTAAAGACTTAGCATTTTGTTTTGATGATGGCGCAGAAGAAAAAAATGATCCAAGTTTCTTCAGAAAAGTTGATAAAAGTATAAATTACAAATCAATTTATCTATTAGTCGTTTTCTAAATATTTTACGATGTACATATGATTATGCTCAATTTTTTTTAACGTTTATAATCATAGTTATTGCTGCGCCCTCTTGAAGGTCATTTACTTGGCCAGGTCATTTCCGATATTCAAGAAAAAAAAGAACGTCTTTTTATTTGACTAAACCTTAACTCCCCGTAAAATCAGTACTTTTATTACTTATGGAAAAATGTACCAGTCTGCCACTGTACCTACCCCCGTGAAGGTGTCTAGTAGGGTGGTCCTTATTTTCCAATTTTAAAAAATTTAATCAAATACGTTTTACATTTTGTTCAACTAGTTAGACAAATAGTTTTGATGAAGCTTGTTTTTCAATATTATTTTATTACATATCGCATTTACGGTAAAAATATATAAAATATAGATCTACACATTTCCAATAAAAATGTCAAGTAATTTTTTCATAAATCATTCATTTTTCATAAAAAAGTTTAAAATAGATAATTTTATTTATCCAATGAAACTGGCGTTTTTGCCAATATATCTCTATTAATGTTAAACAGTTAAAAATGGAAAAAAAAATGTTTCAAATAAAAAATATGTAAAATAAAGTTTAAAAATAATAGATATTTTAGAAAATTTTACTATGGCTGTCGAATCTATGCTATAGGCGGTAAATAAAATAAAAGAATAAATAAATCCATCCATATAACTTGATACTCCAGATGTACGTTTTTAGCGCATTCTTTCTAATATTAAGGTCTATATATTAAGGAATAGTAATATAGATATAGAATACTATATCTCTTAGCACCATTATAGTTGTACCAATCTTTTTACTAAGTCAAACAAACATCATATATCCATTGTGAAACATAGTAAATGTGACTGCTTAAGTTCTCGTTTTTACACCAATCTGGCATCGAAAGTAATAGTGTAGCTTAAATAGAGTGCCACGGTAAAAAATGAGAAGTGTACTACATTACCAAGTTCTTATTATGACTAAATTATAAGAATATAAAACTCCAATGAGCATAATCATACATGTTAATATACAGTCAAATATTTTTAAAACTCTCACCCTTAAATCATGAAAATTGCTTTACAAATAAAGTAAAATTGAAATTTTCAGATGTATGGATAAATAGCATGGATAATTTGATTTATGCTTCATTTTGCATGATACTTATAGATCATTCTACAACACAATTAACAGAAATTAATAACACTTTTATAAACATAATTTGTAATAACTTAAAGGATAAAAACGATATAAATATTTGTACACCAATTGTGAGCTGTTGTGTGAATAAGTTCATGGATAATATTAAAAATCTAAAAGAAATATTATACGTCAATGAAACTGGAGAAATAATTTTATCAACACATAATACACGTATAGGTCATTGTTGTTACGAAGAAAAATCAAATAATTAACTAAAAAATTGTTTTATATTATTCAATTTAATTTTACTGGTCTTATTTAAATACATTTAACTCATTAAAAATCTACAACATTTATATCATTATTTATAATATTAACATATAATATAATAATAATATAATATTATAATTTGTACATGTATGTCACATATTATGAATACACAAGATTACCAAAATAGGATTCCCTTATTTAAAATACAAAATAACCAGCTAATTATAGGATGAAATCTAATTATTATTATACAGATTTTTAAGTAACGTCTACGCGCAGGACCAAATCGTAATTGACCAATTAGAATAAAATGCCTCAGATTCCAAGATCACACTAGTAATCGCTAGACTATCCTCTACTGACTAAAAAAAGCCATTTCTTCTCTATCAATACCAGTCTTTTGATCTTTTTAAAATCTATGATACTCTATACAAAATTCTTACTTTCTAAGACTTAATTCAATCTAATTTAGACTTTGAATATTTTTCAACATAAAAACATTTAATCTTTTTTTTTTAATTTTTTTAACTTATTATTTTTTAGATTAAATGAAACTTAGATATTTTAAAGTGAAATTTGTTTGGTAAATCTAATAATTTAAGTTGATTTGTTTGTTCATTAAATCATGATGTTTTGTTTTTCTTATTATGAAAATATATGTCAATTAATATGTTAAACATCAAACTTTAAAAAAAAAAATTATTGTTCTTTACTCTTTTTTTAAGAACATCACGCCGGCGGACAGAGTAAAGGTTGCAACTAGATATTATTCTAGAATTAGGTATATTACATTAGAATATATTTGCAAGTCTATGTGTATTAGGTAGCTAATTTGATCTAAAATGACTACAAAATATTTTAATAAGTGATAAATATATATTTTTAGCTTCGATGTGAAGCTGAGAAGGTATTGGTTTTACTATGATGTATTTTTTTTTTTTGTGTCTGTTACCACTTTTTCTCAGCTCTCACCGAACGGATTTCTTTCAACGATACGTCAAAAGATCACAAATCGTATCTAGTCGAAGACATTACCCTTCAAAATTGAAAAAATTTCCCTCGTTCCCCGTAAATGGGGGAAACCTCCAAAAAAATTACAAATTTAAAAATCGCTAATTTTCGAAATTTTTTCAATTTTTTTTACTAAAAACTGCCGTAACTTTTTCAAAAGTGAACATATCAATATATTTTTTTTCTATAAATGCACTT